TTTTTAAAGAAACTGAACAGAAAGAGGTTTTGGACTTTTGGACACCAGGCACCCATGAGGGGAAAGCATGAGACACTATAATGAAAATAGGAGACTAGGCTTGGCACCCGTAGCACACTGGTTACAGTGCCAGCACATACACACTGCCTGGCGGGTTCGATCCCGGCCCAGGCCAGTTAAACAACAATGACAACTGCAACAAGAAAATAGCCAGGTGTTGTGGTGGGTGCCTGTAGTCCCAGCTACTTGGGAGGCTGAGGCAAGAGAATCACTTAAGGCCAAGAGTTTGAGGTTACTGTGAGCTGTGACGCCATGGCACTCTACCGAAGGTGACCAAGTGAGACTCGGTCTCAAAAAAAAAAAGAAAAGAAAAGAAAATGGGAGGCTAAATTAAAGTTGGCAAATTGATGGGTAATCCTTCCCTAAACAGTTCTACTTCCTGGCTGCCAGACACTGGCAAGCAGGTTTATATTCTGTGGGTAGAAGTATAGAGAGTTCTCTGAGGAAGAAGTTGGTGTGAAGAAAAAATATTCAAAAGACAAGATGATCTCTTGAAAATTATAAACATGATAATAGAAATGAATAGATTAAAAGATAGGTAATTTCCCACAAAGTAAAACAAAAAGATACAGAGATAGTAAATAGGAGAGAAGAGAAATTAGGGGACCAGTCCAGGAAATTCAGTAGCCAGCTGTTGCACCAGAAAATGGATGTGGAAACTAAGACTTCGATAGGTAAGTAAGTTATATAGAATCATACGGTAAACCCTGGGATGAAATTTAAACCCAGGTCTCTTGAGTCCACTGTGCTATTGCAAAGGGACCCGGTCTTTAAATGCTGTGGAGGGTCATATTGGGTCGTGGTAACACTTGGGGTGGGAATACTTGTCCATTTAGGGAATGTCTGGTTTACTAAATGAGACATTAACCATAAAATATTAACTGGTGAGAAAACTAATATGGCATTGTATTAATGAGGGTGGTCAGGACTTAACAGGTGTTGTCACATTTAGTAAGAGGAAGTGGCACCCACACTTTTTGCTGCCTGGGGAATGTGCCAGGCCAGGAATTCAGACCCAGCTGTGCAGGACTCCCAAGAAATCTTTGAGTATGGTAAGGAGAGATGATAAGGCAGAGTAAGTCACATTGCCCTTGTTTACTTACACTAATATAATAACTAAGGTCATAAGTAGAGAAGGATGGGAAGCATGGAAAGGGTAGAGAAGCATTGGAAATGTGGGGATGGGAGATGTCAGGGATCTGTCAAGAACAAATGAGAATCTCTTAGGACACTAGATCCCGTGTTTGACTGAGGCCCGGTGTCCAGCTTGTTTAACTGTCGTCAAGCCCACCCCATAGCCTGGGAGCAGAGCCCATGCCAATACCAGTGTTAAGTCAGAGAGAGAAAGATCCTGCAGGCAGTGGGATCCAGGCAGGACCCAGAGGGGTTTTGGTGATCTGTTATTGGGTTATCTTTTAACTCCTCCAACCTCAAACTCAAATATTAATGACATTTTAGAAGTACTGAATCTAAAAATGGGCGAAATCTAGATATGGCACCAAGAATTACGGGACAGGGACTCTGGCAGGTATATCACATATGTGTGGCATCTTAGTTTATCCTGGTGAATCTTGAGCAGGAAATGGTGGTTCTTAGGTTCAGAGACAGGAAGTGGTACACATGTCCTTGGCTGACCAGTGAATATGGCAGGGCAGGATTGACCCAATCCCAAAGGACTCCAAACCTAAGAACATGTCACTTGAACTCTCACCCTCTGCTTGGAGAAGTTAGAGTTATTAGCATGTAAACTTCAGAGGGGCGCTGGCTGGTTCAGAGGGTTACTGTCTGTTGCCTGGATGAGGCAGTGATAAAGCGGTGCTGATGAGCCAGCATTGCATTCTGAAGCTTGCTCACTGAAGGTATTTTCACTAGTCGCTATCTAAGGCTCACCACTTTGCAGATTTGGAATAACTTGAATTTTAGAGTGCCATTATGGTTTGCAGCATGTTTTACATGTGTGAGTTGAATACTGGGAAGTGAGTGGGTATTATTCATTTTACAGTTAGGAAAAATAGTTCCTTTGTGCAGTGGTGGAGCGTTAACGTTTTTTTTACCTCCAGTATGTGCTTCCCCTGACTTGTTACTAAAATATAATTTAATCTTTCTTGAATTCTTAAGATACTATACATATAAGAAGATTAAAAAATTCTAGAATCCCCTTATGGATATAGTGCACTACTAAAATATCACTGAAATTCATTAATCATTTATATCGTAATTGGGAAGATGAATAAAATTTCAATTTAATAGCTCTAAATTAACATTTTAGATAATAGCTGCTAGAAGATAACAGATGCAATGGCAGTTTCTGATGTCCTTTTATGCCTCTCAGTTTGCTATGATGATAACTCAGGGGTCCCATAATTTAAAAAACAAACAGTGAATAGGGTGCTGCAGTTTGGTCAAGGGAGGAACACAGACTAACTGGTAGAGCTTGCTTCTGCAGAGTAAGGAGTCAGCTCTTTGTTTCTTTTACTGTTTAAATACAAGAGAAAAATTACATAAAACATTTTATACATGAGAGCAAATCATAGTATATCACTTGCTCATGTATAATACATATATTTCTTTCATACATAAGAGTGTGTAGGTAATTTCCAAGACAAAGTACTGAAAAAAATATCTAGTCACTAGGTTGTTAGGATCATACTGTGATTGGTATATTAAATAGCAGTCCATTTTAGAGTATTGAAACAAGTTAAATTCATGATCCCTAAGGTTCAGTGTTCTGCATTGGAGACTAGCCCTAGGTTTAAAAACACAGTGACATAGGCTTGCTGTACAGAACGGTTACGCAGGGTGTCAGCTGACACGGGTGTTGGTTTCATGATCCGAAGGAAATGGAATATAATTGCTGTACTCCTAACTCCTTGAGCATTATGGTAAGCAGACCCTTTCTGATAGAATCGTGCATTCAAGCAATGTTTATGACTGATATCTGCCATGCTTTTAAAAAGTGGTTTTTAAGGAAAGAGCAGCTCCTCTCTGGTCCCATTTTTCTGTTCCCCTCTGAAAAGTTATGGTATGATGTGGATGGTATATAACTGTGGATGTTTGCAATTAACCATTTTCATAGCGATCTGTTTTCTTGCCTCTCATACTATGTTAACTGTGGATTGTTATTTAGGATATCTGTAATACTTGTGCTGAGTCATTTTGAGTGAAAGTGGATGGGGTAAAGGTTTATTTTTAGCCTCTCAAGGCCCAGTGAAGGTGCTGGGTTAGCAGAATGCTTCGTCCTGTGCATCTATTTCAGGTCATGCCCACTGAAAGAGATTGATTCTAAATTTTTTTTTTTTTTTTTTGGAGACAAGAGTCTCACTATATCACCCTCGGTAGAGTCCATGGCATCACAGCTCACAGCAACCTGAAACTCTTGGACTTAAGCGAATCTCTTGCCTCAGCCTCCCAAGTAGCTGCGACTACAGGCGCCTGCCACAACACTGAACTATTTTTTGGTTGTAGTTGTCATTGTTATTTTAGCAGGCCCAGCCCGGCTGGAATCCGACAGCTTCAGTGTATGTGGCCAGTGCTCTACTCACTGAGCTATGAGTGCCAAGCCATGATTCTAATTTAGATAGGACTTTGTTCCCTCAATAGATCTAAAGGCTTTGATCTTTGGGTTCACTTTGTTGTACATTCTAACAGATTCTTTCTTGTGAGAAATAGAGGTCTTGGGGTTTTTTTGAGACAGAGCCTCAAGCTGTACCCCTGGGTAGAGTGCCGTGGCATCACAGCTCACAGCAACCTCCAGCTCCTGGGCTTAAGCGAGTCTCCTGCCTCAGCCTCCCAAGTAGCTGGGACCACAGGCGCCCGCCACAACGCCCGGCTATTTTTTTTGGTTGCAGCCGTCATTGTTGTTTGGCGGGTCCAGGCTGGGGATTCGAACCCGCCACCTTAGCTGGCGCCTTAGCCACTTGAGCCACAGGTACTGAGCCAAAATAGAGGATTTTTAAGTTTAAAAGTATACATAGTGAAAGATTATTTGCTTGTGCCTATTTTCAACATTCATTTTTCTTTAAAAGTTTACTGTTTTTGGTGGCGCCTGTGGCTCAATGAGTAGAGTGCCGGCCCCATATAGTGAGGGTGGTAGGTTCGAACCCATCCCCAGCCAAACTGCAACAAAAAAATAGCCAGGCGTTGTGGTGGGCGCCTGTAGTCCCAGCTACTCAGGAGGCTGAGGCAGGAGAATCGCCTAAGCCTAAGAGCTAGAGGTTGCTGTGAGCTGTGACGTCACGGCACTCTACCAAGGGTGACATAGTAAGACTCTGTCTCTAAAAAAAAATAAGAACAAAACTTTACTCTTTTATCCTCCTATTTCCAAATTCTTTCAAGCACTCTGAATTTTTCTCCCAGTACTATGTGGAGGTTTAGACCCTGACCCTGACCCTGACCCTGACCCTAAGAGAAGACAAAGCTTTCCCTCGCAGTATTAACAGACATTTTCTGGTCTGCTTTTTTTTGTTGCAGTCATGAGTGTTCATGTTTCTTTATAAAAGAAACAAGATCACTCTCTGTAGACGGTGAGTTCCTAGGGGACTTAGAAGTTTTTGTGATTTTCCTTTGTACCATGTCTGGTATAAGACTTTACTCACATAAATAGTTAATACTCTTTTTGATGGTGACTGACCTTTGGGTATATGATGGGCACTTAATGCCCTTAAGTCTGCCCCTTGAGCAATATGAAATCCATTCTAGGAGGTGCATGATTATTTTCACATTTTTCTCAGTAAGTTCCTTTTAAGATCCTTTATTAGCAAAATACATACTAATTTGGATCTACAAATCTATAATTTTAAAACACTGGTATTCCTTTAAATATCGACCATGTATTTATTGTGGAATATGGAAAATTTGTAAGGCCTTTGTATTTAAAACATACAAACATACCTGATTTTTGTCCACCTGGCAGTAAACGAACGTGTCCTTTTCTCCTGCAGAGCTCTGGTATCGAGACTTTAGTGGAGGAACTGTGCTCCAGACTAAAAGACCTTCAGAGTAAGCAAGGTGAGGACACTGCTGTGAGAGCATTGTGTGCACACGTGCCACGGTTCTATCCCCAGGGAACCTGCCTTGAGGAGAATCTCAGAAGTGATCAGAAAAAAGAACAAAAGTAAAGTCTTTGTGTTGAGTGTTCATCACCAGGCCAACATCCTGCTTCATCTTTAGCTCTGTTAGTGGCTCCTTTGTCAGCCTAGCAGTCACTCGAAGCGAGCCCTGCTGCCAAAGGAGGCACCTCTTCCACAGGTCCCTCATACACATGAAATGTTTCATTTTATCTTCATATTTAGGCTCAGATTGGGAGCGATGTTTTCTTCTCTTTCCCCATCTTCACTCCTGTTATTAATATTTGCCTATTGATATTTAAGGCCTACAAACATGTTGACAGCAATTCCTTCAGGTTTAGAAGGAACTTCTGTTTTGACTCTCAGTTTTTGGACAGGCAGAGGTGATAAACTCATTAAGTCATTTTAGTACATGAACTCTCCTCATATTATGTAGCTGCTTTTCCTAACTTTCCTACAGTCCCTAAGAATAAGACCTGCAGGTTAAGGTTAAGGACTAACTTTCCTACAGTCCCTAAGAATAAGACCTGCAGGTTAAGGTTAAGGACTAACTTTCTGGCTCAGAGCCTGTGGCTCAAGCGGCTAAGGCGCCAGCCACATACACCTAAGGTGGCGGGTTCGAATCCCCATCCCGGGCCCGCCAAACAACA